TGTAATGTTGAAATGGTGTAACAGCAAAGCATTGTCTTAAAACCTGTCACAGCATCGCGACATTGTATGTTTTTGTCCATTCTTGTCCTCACTGCAGACGCGACTGTTTACGTGAACATGACATGTCATCTGAAATTTCGTCAGTCTCTGCGCATCCCACAGACGTCACCTCTGAAACAAAATAAAGTGATTTTAGCAAAGCGTTAGTGGTAACATATACAACAAGAACGGTTTTTTTATTCGTAAAATCAATAACTGAAAATGAGGAGAGAGAGCAAAGCAATAAGAAAGACATAAACCTTCACACAAACCGAACGCCAATATTTGTTACCGGTCTTAGTTTATATTTCAATCTTGCGTTGATATTGTTTAACTCAACCGTTTAGAAAATCCTTTAAAAAACACCCATGGAACTATGTATGAAATAAACCTACGATAGATTAATCCGATTAGCATCATCACACGCTATCTTTTGTTGGTAAATCTTACATAATAGACCTACGCATTATATGATTACGTACTCCAAGCTTTGTTTCGTTTTTGTGTAAATTAGTTCTTCTATAACTAATGTTTGGTGCATGAGTTCTGATATTGCTTAATTCCACGTGATATGTGCACAAATCAATGGATTCTGTATCCTAATGATAAACGTAAATTAAAAAATAATAACGGTTTGTCATAGTTGCAGTATGGACACATTTTTATCATTTCTATCTACACACATACTCTGTGTCTTGTATGGTTACCTGTTTTCTGGTTGGTGTAGCCGATGAGGTAGTTTTCGTTGTCGTTCGAGTGTTTAGAAGCCCTTCTGCTGCAGCAGCATAGTAGTACCACAGCACATAACACAACCCCAGCACACAGACAAGCTATGGTAATCCAGCGGATTAAAAGATTTTCGTTGGCTTCCTTCATCTCTCCCAATATTTCACAGCTTCGTATCTCGACAGTCGACGCTTGTTTAACTTAAATAACAATGATCACGTGATGATTCTGTATTGACCAGTAGAATGATGTACAGTCAGTACATGCGTCACTGTAAGTGTGATATACATGTACGTCTATGTTTTACGTTCGTTTTCATATCTGGCTTAAGTAAAGTATATCGAGCCGAAGTATATATAAATCTACCAAGTGTAGTTGAATTATACGTTATTAAAAGATTGAAATAAGTATTCTTTGCATATAAGATCTGATATTTATGAGCCTCATTTGCATTAAATATTCCATGATGCGTAGTAGCAACTGGGTGTAGCAACTGCTTTTTATTGGTGTTCATAGTCAATATGAAGCCATATGGGAATGAATAATTCCATAAAGAGCGCGCTTCATGTGAGGTTTATCATTTCTATTTGCCATTATACATAAATTACCATATTCAAAATATTCCAGTCTTATATAACTTTTTAAACGTTCAAATATATATATTCATATACAGTCAAACCTCGTATTTCTCGATGCGTCGAACTTACGGCAAAGTCCGGATATTTTCACATATATAACACTATTGATATTTTATTCATGAATCAAACTTTTATGAGTCGAATTTCTCGCTGTTTTGAAGTATAAGTAAGGTCAGTATTGTATTCTTAAAACAGCAGTGTGAAGTATTTATGACGCAAAGTGATGATCAATATAGTGTTGACGATTCCGTAGGATACATTCACCGGAAGTACTTTTCAAAGAAAATGGTTTGCTAAAATGGTCCATTTCGCGGAATTCAGGTCTAGGGCCATGGGACAATGAGCTGTATGTTTGTTGGTTTATGAATTAATTAATTATGTTGTGTGATATTTAATAAAAACCGATTGTCACATTTTTTTGTTTTGTTTTCGAAAAATCGGCAAACGGGAATCACTCGAAAAATAAATGACAAACAAAGAAGTTCTGAATTTGATAAGAAGACAATACAAACCACAATGTGGTATTAAAAACAACCTATTGTTATTTCTGTCAAGGTGTTTGTACTTTAAAATTGAATTTCCTAGTTTGTGTTTCGTCACACAAGAAATACAAACTGCTTGATGTGAACGATCTCGATGTTTGATGTTCAATTTTCGTGAGTCAGAGTCCCGATGTTTCGATTTTCCCGTTGGTCCCACAAAGTTCGAAACATCGAAGTTGACTGTATATATAACGTTAGACATCCATCGCACAGAATATATTTTGCTAAGTTTAATAAAACAATTTTCAAAACATTTTGGTGAGTTAAGGTGCCTTTCATCGAAACCGTTGACTATTATACTCATACACAATACTGTAGATCAATATATTATTCATGTCGCATTAATGTTTAAAATGTATTTTAGAGAGAGGCTCTTGTTTTTTTTAAGGGACAGTCAAACAGAGAATTACACCGATAATAAGTTTCCAATAAGTATGATGATCGTGGTATTAAAACGTAGTTCATGTGCTAGTTTTAAAAATGTGTAAAAACTCTCTTCATGTCGCCATATGTAAAATTCCATCAATGATTTTATTTTAGAATACTTTCCTCCCGCTGTCTGGTGCATTATTTAGTTCTGCAGTATGTAACAGTATTTATTATGTTGTACATGGCACATCAAAAGCCAATAAATATTTCAAATTTGATTGCTTTTTTAATCTTAATATTTTTATAATGACCCATAGTTTATCACAGATTCTTTTATGTAATCCGTTTAGCTATTACGTCATAATATAATTTAAATAAATTGCCCGCTGAACCATATATGGGCGAAAGCGCTAGCAACACGATCTTACAGTTTGTTTATACATGTATATATTGAAGAAGCCACAGAACGGATCAAGTTTAAAACGTTACTGAAATGTTAAGTGATATTCTCCTTATTTTCAATCCGTGCGTTGTCCTAAAAACAGAAAGTGTTTAATTCATAGTAGATAATATATTCACAGCATTATATTTTGTTTCCCATGGAAAGGAATCGTCTGCTATGTCGTCCCTGTTTGGTATTATTCCAGGTATAGCTTCATTGAGAGTTGATTGATTATAATTTCTAACATATTATATAAGCATTGAACCAAATGTATTTGTACGACAGACCTGATAAATATGCGAGATGTTCTCAAATTAAGGTGCTATTACAAATATTTGGGGTTGTCCGTGGATATTATCATACCCGAACTTAGATTTGTGCACGCATGTTTGTGAAGTCCATGTAATTCTGGATACTGAAACCAGTCCTATTCCAACCAAATCATTAACCGCAATGGAATAGGCTATGTATACTATTTGGAAGAAAGGAATTTATCTTAAAGAAAAAGTGCCTCAAGGTGCAGAATTTCCCGTGTACTGAATCATTAGAGATCACGTCATTCCCCTTACTGGTTAATATGATAGTGTTGGGTTTGGGGTTTGGTTCATTAGGACCATACTACATGGTATACTCGCAATGTTGCCTCAGTAAATCTCTGGATGAATTTTTTTGTAGTGAACTGATTTCATCTCTAAAATACCATGAGATCATGGTGTCCTCAAAAATGACAACAAAAGATGAACTGTACAGCAAACATAATATCATTCATAAGGTCATCTTTAATCACATGCACATTGCATATCATTTAAAACAGTTTGGGAGCAAACTTAGTATGGTATCTAGTGCACTTTGAAGTGCACATGTTGTGTACAAGGAAGCGCAAAAGACAAGACATTGGTGAACTCTAGTGCACAAGCTTATGAACTCTAGTGCACTACGGTGTTAACTCCACGGTGATTAAATTTGTCATCATTAAACAAGGGACATGTCATTACCACATGGCCAATGGCCAGCTGGATACCTGCTATTTGGATTACCTTTTAAATGCTTAACACATCTTTATGTTATCTAGATATGCTGTCGATAAACCTTATTCCAAAATGATTTTCTTTTTCAATTTGTATACATAAACATTCTGACTGAGTAAAACACATATTGTTACTTATGATGGAATCTATGAATCATAAACATTGGCCATTTCAATATAAAATGACGAGTGAATTACTCTTCAGTCATGTTTTTCATGCACATAAACCCTTTTGTTTTCAACAGTTAATTAAATACGATACACCCAGCCAATTTTAAAATAACAACAATGTCCAAATCCACATTTTCAGTAAAACAACAACGATCATAATATCATAATTACAAATATAACGCTACAAAATTAAAATGTGATACGAATTTAGCTATTTAAAACTGTGTGTACTTTTAAACTTTATCTTTTGAAATCTTACAAGTGTTTATGGGTTTTCTTCAATCACCAGAAATAGTGAACATTCCGTATTTATTTAATTTTCGTATCATGAAAGAACGCATAAATTATAAACAAATAATTAAAATGTTACTTCAGTTTTTCAAAATAGGGTAAACACTGTGTTACACTGGAGTTAACAAGCTTGTGCACCATTCGATACTGGTGGAATAATAAACATAATTTAACAGCAACGCTCACTGTTGTGCTGTTTCTCTTTGTATACGTCCATATACATATATAGTAAGACACCTTATAGTACAGACTATAGTATACCTGTAATACAATCCTGTTGTTCTCTAACTGACACCAAATCTCACCTAGCATATACACAACACCTTACCTGTATATAGGAGAATACCAAATGTGTGCTAGGTGTGACGACACCTCCAGTACGAGGGTTCAGACAGGAAAAGTCAGAATGGATACCTACATGTTTATGATCGATAAAGAAACATACATTATTGTTTATACCGTCATGAATAAGAAATTAGTTAAATTACAAATATTTTATTATTCACGATATCGACAGTTACCTACATGCATGAGAATTCTGGTTGTTTTTTCAAACTAAAAATTGGTATTGGAACGCCATCATGTACTAATTATTCAATTTTTTCAAACTGAAAAAGAATTGGTATTAGAAAACTATCATGTACAAATTGATAGGGTCAGAATTTTTCCGAAAAAATCCTTATCAATACAACTAAAATAAAACTCAACAATATTTATATACATATAATAACAAAAAACATTAATCCATAGATAAACTTTAATAACAAATATGTCTATAAGACAGAGTATTACAAATTTTAAACCACCAATACATATGTACTTATTATTTAACAAAGTATCGCTCTTTTTTTACATACATTTACACATATATACTTGAAAAAACCTTTCATTTAAGCACGGAATTAGATTAGTATATAAATCTATATTGAAAGTATACTGCGCGTGCGCTTCTTTAATATTAAGTTTAAGAATATACACCAGCGGAAGGCAACTGAAAAATACACAATATGAACTAACTGATAAAACAATTATTATGATAAAGAGGAATTGTCGATGCAGTTAACACCAGAGCACAAGCTTGTGAACTCCAAGCGGGTGTGCACTGGAGTTCACTTTCCTTGCTAACTCCAGTGCACCAGGTTACCAAGTTAAGTTTGCTTCCAACTGTACGTTGGAAGCACCTTATATTTGATCATAAAACAACAATAGAATACCAAAGTGTCAACAAAAGCATTATTCGAACTCAAATAAATAAAACCTAGAGGGACCGTTGAAAAGTACCAGAACAATAAGACCAAGTGTTCCGGAAGTGTAAGCGTTCGGATGGGTGAGCATGTTAATAAATATTTTTCACGGTTTGTATCTGTAAAACAACTGCGTCATTGTTACATACTCAAAAGTCTTCAATACAGTGTAGGTAAACCCACTTCGATCAGATTCCTTCAATTTAGGAAAAAGTAAACATCTGAATTGATGAAAAAGATAATTCCAATCCTAGAATAAAGTCAACAACTTTTGAAGAAAAATGGGGACAAGAAAAGGGTTATTATGCAGGGGAAAAAAATGACAATGAAGAGAAATCCATTCGTCATTTTATATTGAAAATTGCCAATGCTAATGATTCATAGGTTTCATCATACATACTGATATGTGCTTTACTCAGTCAGAATAACTATATACGTTATATTTATAAGTCACGCATGTGTTAATTTAGAATGAATTTCAATCAGGGGCATCGTAATCCACTCAATGACTAATTCGTTAACTTAAATTAGAAGCATCTAGATCTGTGACATATACTTTGAAATATATTTACTTATTATTGAAATTGGAAATATTACCCGATATACTTAACATTTACATGTATCGATAAAAAGATTTTTGTTACAAATCAGAATTTAGCTTTGCTGTCATTACATGAATTAATGTTTACATGGAAATAAAATCAATTACACGAATTACGTATTTAAAAGCACATATTTAAAATCTAGTAAGTTGATTCATTAAACGAAACAATGTGAACGTTTACTGTATCATATGGCCATGTTGTACATTTGAGGACTTACCAGTGGTACCAAAGATAAAGAATTAAAACAAAAAAAACATAAAAGAGATTTAAATTCTCGCTTTTACACATATCAAGGGGGATAACTCCTCGCTAGTGTACAATTGTGAACAAATGCGTAGTTTGGATTTTAGACATGGAAGTTTATAAAATAATAATAGAAAGCATGGTCGTTTCTTCTATTCCTTAACGAAATGGTTGCATTTTATTGATTCTTAACTACTGTATTTGAATAACACATCAGTGAGGCTCAAACGTTTATATGTCAAAATATTGCAACAGCATTACAAAGACTTCATAAATATTGATTTAACCAATACATTATAAAACATATCGGGTTAGTAAAGCTATGTAAAACTCTCATTATTCATCTAATGTATGTATACGTGTAGTTAATGGGCCTGAGCCTCACACAGTGATCTTGCTAATAACTCATCGTGGAGTCAAAGGTCGAGATACTCTTAGGATTCGTTTTATCCGAGTACTTGATTGACGTTGCTTCTGAGGGAGTCGAAGCAGGAAGGCTAAACGGTCTTTCAAAGATGAATTCAGCGTCTATTTTACCGAGTCCTCCATTTTCCATACCCGAGTCTTTAATATCATATTTAAGATTTGTGATCCTGTATAATTTGGGTACAAACACCACCATTAGAATCACAGTTGCGCACATAATCATTCCAACACATATGGTTGGTTCCACATATTCACGTGGTTCCACGTAGATGACGACAAGCCACGTGATCCATACAAAAATTGTGACCCAGCTTGCAACTAGGATCAAACGAGCCTCACCTAAATTCTTCTTCTCATTTCTGACAGTTAAAGAATACACAGCACAAAGCACTATTATAAACATTACATACGAGAGATATTCAACAAATTTAACCTTGTCAAATATGCATGCATATTGCACGATTGTTTTACTTCTAGTAATGACGAAATCGTCCTCATACACTAGCCACTGTACCCCTATGGCTATCTGTATCCCCGTTATAAAAAGTATGGCTAGGAATTGGTTGATACTGGATAGCTCTCCTCCCAGCCCGACAAGCTTGTACGCTCGGAGTGCCATCAACTTTGCGAGAATCGTTGCAAACAAAAACGCATAGGCCAGACCAGGAATGAACCTCCGACATGCACAAACTCTTTCACTTGGAGTAAAAACGAATGGAATCACGGCCAAGTAGAGGAATATCACCGAGAGCAACATAAGCATACCAAGGACAATGTATCGCCTATATAGAAACCCTATACACACCTTATACATAACGTAAAACATGAACATTAATACGACAAAAGCGCCCCCTAGTGCAATAATCAGAACCATCACGGCCCAGAGCATGTTGTCGAATTCCGCCGAAGAGTCGTAGAACAGTAGGTTTGGATACGGGTCAGCCATGCCCTCTTCGTTTGTGGAGTTTTCCGAACCAAAGTTAACACATACACAGGTCTGGTAGCAGCGTGACTCACGGACTGACGTGTATGCCATCCCGTTACTATCGTAAGCCTTTATGCTAGTGGTATCAATGTCCAATCTACCGGCACGCAACAGACCAACCTGTAACAGAATTCGATCCAATTTGAGTTACAAAGGTAATGGACATAGTTGGCAATTATCTTTTTTATTTAATTTAAACAATACAATCATGAAAACGAGCGTTATACGTTGAACATAAAGTCACTGAAGTTTAATGGGTGGTCGGGCGGCGCAGTGGACAGCGCACTAGTCTTTCACAAAGACGGCCGGGGTTCGATTCCCCGATTTGATGTGAAAAGCGATGCGTCACCTGCCCGATCACATGGGTGTCCTTCGGGTACTCTGATTTAAGACACTTTTTCAATTTTATGTAGTTCAGTTATTTGAAAATATCTAAGGTCAATATAAGTAATATGATACAAACTGAGTACTAGTATACTATAACACTGTATATCAGCCCTGGCAGGTGATAATAAACGGGTGCTACAAATATAAGTGGCTGATTATGAAAAATTTCTTGTTAGACGACCAGTAAGTGTTTCTATGTGTTTTCGATGACTGCTACGGTATGTACTGTCACCTTCATCAGACAAATGAACCTTTGTGTGCATGCGCTTCACTGGCTATTTGACTGATGAAAGTGACAGAGTAGATACGGTACTAGTCATCGAAACGTCACATAAAAACACGTTTTGGTTGTGTAACAAGAAACTTTGTATAATCACCCACTTATATGTGTAGCACCCGTTTATTATCATCTGCCAGGGCTGAACCAACCTGAAGAACATGTTTAGAAATAAGTGGCTGCTATATAAAAATTTACCTTTTTGAATCCGCTAGGTTGGAAGCTACTGATGACGTATGTTCCAGAGGACGTGGCCGCATATGGAACCTGGATGGAGAGGTTACCCTGGTAAACAAAGGAGACATTCTCAGGATTATCTAACAGGTTTCCACTCACGTCTTGCATTGCTGAACACAGACCTTGCCCTGTCGGACATAACCTCATATACCGATGGTTAAGCATGTGCATCAGCACGTCAACCCCTAGCACCACCTTAGAAGCTTCCATCAGCACGTTAGACGAGGATTTGCAATCAGTATTACCCATACTTCTGCATAGCTTTCTTTCTTTGATGAAATCTCTGAACCATGGGTTTCCCATTGTACTATTAACAGTATGGATGGGATTTACGAAGTAGTTGTAAAAATCTTCGTTTATTTTCCAGGCCTTGTCCATAACGATGGTACCAAGAGGAATAGAAATGTCCTTGACATTATCCCAGTCCTGGTCGATGTCCCCAATGATGAAGTTTTTGGAAACACGTCTGGACGCTAGCTCCGCCAATAAAAACCTAGCGTCTATTTCCGTGGCCAGAATGATAACGGTGTTTGCAGGAGTTTCATCGATCATTCTTAACACAGATATAGTAGATGCAATATCACCTGCTTCAATAGAATGGTTGAACGAAACACATATGTTATAAGTCTTGGAAAGTGTCATAAATGTCTTTACTGCAGACATGTACGTCTCTGATCTAGAATTAACGAAAGATACATAGGTCCAATCCATTCTCATCAGAAATTCCAGGACAGCGTAAACTGTTTCTGAGGGATTTAACATGATAACTTGTCTTGATAAAGGGTCGTGAAATACATACTTGTCATTTCCTAAGGACATTGCAAGTTTTCCAATTCGATCAACAAGTGCCCTTGTTGGTATTGTCATGTCAGTATCTCCGTACAGGAGGTAGCTGGAAACTTGGGCAGGACTTGGGGACAACGTTGGATTTTCAGCGCTCGAAAATGTTGTTGAACACGTTTCGAAATTCATCAGTGTTTTGAGAGTTTCATCTGCATCCGAACACGAGTCAATAATCAGCGACCCGACGGTCACGTTCGGAAACAGATAAGGGTAACGGTCCTTGGCAGTTATCACAGCAAACAGGAAGGCGTCTAGAAGTTCTTCAGTTTCCATAGCAATCGTCAGGCCACCACACGTGAAAGGCGCCTTGCCTCTGCTATGGATTGGGAAAACAGACGCGAACACTATGTCACCTGGTATGTACACGTGGTCCCGTGACGTCATACTAGGAGGTGAAGGGCAGACATTACACTCCGGACACCAGTTACTGCAGTGATGAGGAACAACCAAAGGGATACCAGATTGATCATACGTCATCACCGAGTTATCGTCGATCGTCAGAACACTGTCCACAAACTGACCAATCTATAAAAGAATATATGTAATATGCTTAAAATAATAAGCTTCGTGCACATGCAATGGAAGTAGTTTAATATTTTTAGTTGTTTTTGTTTTCGTTTTTATACACGTAAAGGATTGAAAAGACCCAAGCATGTGATTGACCCATTTTAGTAGTAGTCAAAATAATCTAAAATTGAGTTACAATGCAGTGTACAGTTGTTTCGACCTTCTATGTCTAATCGGTGACGTTAGGGGCCACACAAGTTGCGATACACATTGTTCCAAACCAGTTTACTGCGGAAACAGAGGAGAGGTGCGTAAAACGCTTGATTACATGGATTTCAAAAAGTACAGGAGTACTGCATACATTAAATTATTAACTAGGAAAATGAGCATGTTATGAACCTTAATAGCCACAATCAAAGATATCACTGTGGCTATTAAGGTTACGGCAAACACCGGGGACTACAAAATCCACCAACATAGTCTATCAATTAGTACCGTGAAAGAAACATAATTGTATACATATAGTAGCAATTAACACAATCAATATGGAGATGATATTTTGTAATATTTGTATTGACTAAAGATATAGAATTAAGTCTATTAAAGTAATTACGAGAGATCTCATCAACTTTTCTATCAAGAAAGTCAATACTCATTTTAATAAGATCGATGTTTTCCCTGCTGCTTAAGATTTCAGTATCGTTTTGGTGGGGTGTTTATTGTAACTTTAATACACGCTCCAGTTATATCAAGGTCGTACGATAGAAACATCACGTTTGACACCCAACTAACCAGGGCATCTGACTAATACACCAGACCCGACAACTGACCAATGTACCTTCACTCTCTGCGTGTTGGAGGAATCACCAAGTCGGACGTTCATGACGTCGTGCGGCAGCTTCAACACTCCGTCGTCATGGAAACGGAACACATCCGTCCCGTCCGTCACCTCCACAGACCTAATAATAGAATTTATCCGGGACTGGATATTAGGTTGGTTCTTCCATTCCGGACATAAACCGGACTGAAGAGGACAAATTTCCTTGTACAATTTGTCGATAGCTTTCACCAGCAGGTCGACCGTATGGACGAGATGAGTTACCAGCGTGGACTTGTTCAATCCTTCTGTCGTGGCGTTAGTTGTGCACCGTTCCGGGTAGAGGATGTCAGATCCGCTATGGTAATGACAGCGGTGGTAACTTTCATGGAACATCCCAAGCCAGGGGTTCCGAGAGTGTTTCATCGAATCGATGTTTCTCATGTGGGAATGAAAATTCAAATTTGTTTCAAATTTCGGTTTAACTATAACCATACCTGGGAGATCTACGCCCGACTCTTCCGGTATACTCCAGGGCGCTAATAGCACATTCAAACTATATGCATTCTTTGCCACTTCTATTATTCTTGCAGAGTCTACAGGTAACGTCAGGAGAAGAACTGCGTCTGACTTTCTCGACAGTCCAAACACTTCAGCAGTCACATTAAGCATGTCAGGTTTCGTAGAATCAAACACGACCATTTGTGACACACAAACACCTTTCTCTCTGAACATTTGGAGTTCCCTCTGTACTGCCTCATCCTTGTTTACTTGTTTAGATATAACCACACTGATGTATGTCCAGTTCATATCTGTTAATAAGGAAAGTATCTCGGGAAGAACATCGCTGAACATGAAGTCGTTCAAACCGACACCCTGATTTGAAAGACGCACTACAGGTTTCTCTGAAATCAGTTCAGATCTCGATTGAAACGGGTCGTTGTTAAATTCCACGAATGACAAAACATCATTCAGGTCTACATGATTTTCCTCCTGATATACGGCTGGGCACCCCATTTTCTGTTCAATAATATTATCTATGTTTCCACTGTTTCCACACGAGTCTATAACGAACGCGCCCAATGTGACATACGGTAAAAGACCCGCCGAGAGATGACGAGATTTTAGTGTGTCAACAGCGTACAGGAAAGCCTCTGTAAGCTGTGTGGCCTCCCATGACATTGCGCCACAACCGTCGCCATTTACAGAGGATGTGTGAAGCGGAAAGAAACCGCCAACATACAGATCACCCGTTAGGAAAGCCACTGTTTCTGTATCCCGAACGGAATATGCGCAAGCGTCACAAGGAATACATTCGTCGTTTGCACAATTGGATCGGTTAATTTTAGTCTGGAAATCATGCCAAATTGTCGAAGTAGACCAAGCCAAGTCATTTTTTAATATTCTGCCAATCTGAAAAAAGAACGAATAATGACGTAAGCTGAATTGAAGATTAATATTTTTTAGCCAAATGCCAATCAAAAATTCGGATACAACTGAACTAATATAAATGGATAATTGATTGAATCCAGAAACATTAACTATATATGTAAAACTGCAAAATTGTATAAAACCTCTGAGCCGTTTTAGACATACATGTATATAACACGTAGCAAAAAGAGCGGTTTGCGACTGCAAATACCTCCGTAACGTTGTCTCCCTGGGCAGACATGATGAGGACGTCTACTGGTTCGTCCACTAGCCAGCCCTCCGTCAGTTCATTCAAATTAAATGGAAATCCACTGTCCGGTTGGTTGATACTGAGTGCAACATATGGCACATATTTATTGCATTTCTCGAAATTGAAGTCCGTGCAGTTGAACGCCTCCGCGCGGAGAATAAGCCTCTCAAGGTTAAAGAATGATGTAAACACCGCCATCATGTCACGACCATTCATCCGCGGAGAAAGATAGTCCATCACTTCCTTAGAACAGATAGTCTGGCCTGTGGAGACATTTCGGGCACAAAACGGCAACGACTGAAGATATTTCCTAGAAATTGGATCCGTCATTGTTTCTATATTATTTAACATATTCGCCAAATAAAACAACATGTTCCCCTTTGCGGGAAGGCTCTCTCTTAAGAACACAACATTATTCAAATTGGTCGCCGAAACGTTTAGAATGTTAAAATCTCCAACAACGATAAATCTATAATCTTCTTTATACTTAATGTCTATTAATAGGTCACTTAGGTCTTGCTGTCCTGCAACAAATACTATCGCGACCTTTGACCCCAGGGAGTCGATGGAGGAGGTGTTGAAGAAGATGTCAGAGTCTGTTACACAGAACTGTTGGTCAAGTGCCATTCTCTTGAACAGGCGCTGTTCCGCACGCGCACTGGGCGTGTTTACCGCCAAGGTGGAGATTCGTGTCAAGCCCGCACTGCTCAGCAATACTGTCACTGCCTGTCAGTAAATGTAAGTATGCTTTATTCATGATAATTTAGATTGGTTGTTACGTCCTCGGAGCATTTAATGACGTTTAACAACTAAACCAATAAACTAAGTACTACCATAAGTGATGATCTTGATTACTACGATATGAAAATATAACTTCTTGAACTATGAAAAGATACAATGTCCCGGGAAATGTTATTGGGTTAAGTCTAAATTATAAAATTTTCAATGCAATTGCACATACATGTATAGCTTTTTTAAAATTTTGAATAATTACTAACGATTTTAAGAATTGTATAACTTGATGTATCGATGACATTGTGGACCAAAGTATTTGGATGTGATGCCGAGAATCGTAGTGTCTCGAAATGGATCATTGTATCTTATCGATTATGAATGATTACTTGTGTTTTCCATGGTGAGAACGTGGCGATGTCAAGGACTGTGTCCCGTCCCTTCGATATGTGTTCATCAACAGATATCTTAGCATGTAGTATTCCAAACGGCTTCACCAAGTCGGAGATAGTGTTCCGAACGTCGTACGATGTATAACTGATTATGCCTGGAGTTAGAAACAGATACTAGACAGTAATACCTTTATACTTACGGTAAGAAAAAATGACATGAAATGGAATATCAACGGTTTATTAATAGTAAACTTAAAGCGTTAATATAAGTGTCCGGATTAACGATAAGTCAAATTCAAAGAAGTTTCCAGCTTTATTCCTCGATTAGATTATCTCCCCTCGTTTGAGTCTTGAGATCAGACATCTAAGACATAAAAGTTATGAAAAACTAGTTATCTATCATCATTAGTCGCATTAGATGGTTCAAACTGACCACGGTCGATGGTTGATAGTTTAAGTTACGCTCTTTGATATGTTCATGCTATCAATATTAAGTACTATGTAGTAATGGGATACGTACCTGCTAGGTTGGTGTTATTACCACAGTCGTCTGGATTAAGATACCGACTGACTACCTGGATAGCGCGGGACTTGGAACCACACATGTCGTACACCAGTAGGCCTGAAATACAATACAGTACTACCGTCATCGCCATGTAAAATGTACACGTGCATGAATATATTGCATAATTTAAACATGAAGAAATTAAATACTAGGAACTACGAGTATTAATCTAGTAGAGGGGACGCAATTTCAATATTTTCTAATGTAGTCAATATTTTTTCAATATCACAATTTGTCAGTCATTTCGAGCAATCACTTAAACGAAAGGACAGCCCAAATTGAACATTCCTCTCCGTGAAGGAATCTTGAGGTCGACACACACCACCTCATCTTTTTTCCGGTCCAAGTACGTGTATTACATGTATCTACAATAGGCAGGGTCATATACCGTGGGGAATATTTTATGTTATTTTTGCTTGAACATATTTCCTCTCCTTATTCCTGGCATTACAGAAAGAAATTATACTTGTCGCATTGAACCGAAATTTTAATAGTTGTACTGCTTTGAATTGTAAAACGAAAGTTGACAGGCGAGTGAGCTTAAGGCCATAGGACATAGTCAGATACCACCGGGCCTTTATTTTCTTTTACTGCAAGAAACGTCCTAAGGTTCCGGACAGATTACGATAAATCCACAAACAATATATTTCTCTGTTTATGATCATCTGTTGAAAAACAAGGGACCTGAGAGGTAAAAGGACAGAAGATGTACGAAGTATTCTTATATATTTAAAACTGTTTGAGATAGACATCCGACAAAAATAACTCACCACAAGTATTGTGCATATACGTATATGTATGTCGCGTGCCAATAATTAACGGGGATGGTCCTCATTTGAGTTAGTTTGAATGATAAATAATTTACGCATAGTAATTAATGGATTTAATATATTTTTCATGTTTTCACATATTTTGTCGTTTTCACATAATGGCACGCTACATACGTACGCCAAGTGGCATTTTTACAAAGTGTTGATCTAAACACTGAAAGCGTTTTAAAACAACTGCACATCAACGGATGTATCAAAAATAGTGAAGCACATGTCTTTAATCTCAGGTCCCTGTGTTGAATGTCAAACTTTACATCTAAGTATCATCTTACCGACTTTGTTTGTAGGTTTACTTTGAAGGACTCCGTCAATCCAGCGGAGTGACCACAGCATCTCGAGTGCCCGGGGGTTTAGTTCGGTACAGTTACCCCCCGGGTCCATATCACTGTGCATGTCGTACATAACCAGCAGGTACGGGTCCCCCTCCATCACTAGCACGGGTTCGATCGAAGTCGCCACATTACCATAACAACTACACATCAGAATTCCAAAGCACAGCAACCGCATCCAAAGTCCCGAAAAACCCATCCTGTCACGGACAAAACAAAAACACGACGGTATTATAATTAGTCTGTGACACACAAATGGATGAATACATTCGCATATCAAATATCGATATTAATAAAATTCAATACATTTTCATGGTTATCGATATACATTATGAATAGATATACTTTTTATGAAGTAGCCATGGCCAACGGTAGTAAACCATTTGATAGGACACCATTTGATACACGCAAATCTATATATACATGTATATTCCATCGATCCCTTTTTGTCATTTCACACACAAGACACACATGGACTGCCTACTAATCGAAACTACTTCTATAGTTGGCATGAAAGTCCAGTAACAATCAAGAGAACTCTTTCCCAAGTCCATTACCTGGTATTGTGTTTAATAATGTTGCTGGTCGATAAAACGGTCGACTGTGCACGCGCCTTGCCCACTGACGATAATCAATGTAAGTATAGTAGTAGAGGTATTTCCGGTTATCCGTGTCCAATGCTAATTAGCCCTATCCGACTCTGTACGTGGTCTGTGCGGCCGGTAATGATATAGCTACCACCTTGACCATTCCGCACAATGAATACACATATATGACTCTAGGTGTTTCAATTCAAATATACTTGTTTAAGTATCTATAGCCGATATAGAGTCGTGTTTATGTGCACTAGAGCAATGTATAGCACACAGAACTCCACGTGTTGAACAAGACAGCGTGACACTATTCAGGAACACTGCCAAAACAGTCCGAAACGTTCTCCTTTTCACATTTACCTATCCATCCGACCCCGAGAGTAGAATGTTCGTTACAGTTTTCGGACTCAATTAATGTTTCTAATTCGCTTCATGTAAATGTTTGTTCGAAGACACAACAATCTCGGCGATCATTTCGTTTTGTTGACACACAAAAAACTGGTTCATCATCCATTGAAAGCAAACCGATCATGACACCGCCTACTCCTGCTTAACGCTTGTCCCTTTGATGGTGTTCGATATATCTACACTCATATAAAACAGGTGAGAATGTTCCGTAAACAGGTCATCCTCGACACCACTCTGGACGGTAAATAGCACTGCAAATATGGTCAGTGTATCGACAGCCGTATCGTCCGAAAAGTAAGTAAAAACAACGACGGGACATAAAACCTTCAATCTTAATTGAGGAGCACATCTCGACGGTTACAGATTGCCGTGTCGATCATCACGAGACGTTATTGGTGTAAAGTCATTTGCTTGTCATCCGTCCACGGACAAGAGTGCTCGTTAACTCGGAACGCCATAAGGAAATAGGCGACACACCCGGCACGAGCTCTTTGTATATTTGACTCACCTTCTTAATCACATGCACCAAAAGTTATGACAACCGATATGCGTCAAAAGTGCAAGGCATTTCAATGGTTTACTAATAAGTTCGGCACTTTTTCTGTATCACAACATGACACAAATTATTTTTGTTCTGGTCTACATGTAGGCATTCCTCACTCCCAAATATACATGTAACATATGTATTTCTCATAAACATTGCTGACTTGAAATGATCGGGATACCAACTTTCCATTCCATACAGTACGTTTGTGGGAGTCTATGTCTGTATACACACACACCCCAGTGGCTTGTACCTACCTGTTGCGTTTACCTCCACGGCATGCTTACACACGTGCACGCTACACGCGGGACGTACTACATTGTGTATTCAGCTGAGAAGAATACGTTGTACAAACGTATTTGATGTATTATGTCCTAACACATTAGCTGATAAGTCTAACACACAGCATAACGTACCACCACCAACACAATACAAGGTAACACAATGTCAGAATACTGTGCCAAATTGCTCCGTCATCAGGTACAATGCTGATGTAATAATCGACAAAAAAAATGTTGTAATGGAAATTCTGAAGCGTGCAGTGACTTACGCTGCAGTGATTTCATAGCCGACATGTTTTGCCATTCAATTCGGCCATGTCCTACGTTCTATTCATGTGCCAACATTTTGATAGATCACCTACATGAATTTCGTTTCGTTTGTAGAATACATTACGTAGTGTAGCAAGTCGCACGTGCATTTATTGTGTGTTAGCTTTCGACGAGATAATATACAGTAGTGCGGATGTGTTCTCAGCATTCAGAATCATCCTTTTTGTAAAAAAAAAATGTATTTTAGCTAGCCGCTCTATCTGTATTCTTTTCAGGCTTGGGATAGTATTTCAGTGAGACATTCAGGAATGTGTAGCGGACTGATCGGTTGGACTTTGAAGTGCATTCCCAAATTTCGATATACAAATGTATAATTGAAACACTGATCTACACTATGCCTAATGCTATTAAATTGTATACATTTCATTTGGTATATATTATCATCGCTTAATAGATACGAAACGGTTTCTGTACGGATGAGGAACGAAGGAGAGCATTCATGCTTGATTATGATATTTACGCATTCAGGAAAATATGTTTGAATTATATTGTTTGGCAAGTATTAACACTGAACACACCATCCATGCCATGATGTCCAAAACGTTCTACAGCAGATGACTGCACACAACACAGGTTGTGAAAATCGAATCCGAAAAACTGTGGTATAAAGTTCGAATAAAACTTGAAACTTGGTAGCTTTTCGCGTGTAACATACATGTATACCACGCTTTAAGGAAGATACTTAACAGTCACTGGTAACGAGACGAGTTTTATTTTGAGAAAATCGACAATAATTATTCAATTTCTGTAGCATTGTGATGTTGTACTTGTGCAAACAGAGCGTATATAAGTTGTTATCTACTTGTGTACGTTGTATTGTTTACGCCTCAATGTCAGTAGGTAAACATACATAATACACGTACATATATACAGCGTATCTAAACAAGAGACTGTAATTCGATATGCTTGTTTAAAGATGTGTTAGTTTTAAAAGTTACACATCGCCATCCACTACCTGTTGATGGGATCAGCATTTACTCTTTCATAAAATATAAATAGCAAAGATTGCATTACCGAACCATTACATAAACGTTTTACGATGAATTCCATTAGCGTTAGCTAGGTTATCCCTGCCCCCGGGGCGGTGACATGGTGTTAGGGCTTATGTGTCACGTGTGAAGTGATCCAGGCACCGACACTTCCCTGACACATTAAATGTGTATTTCAGGTTTTGAGTCATCTATGTACAGAACACTATGACGACAGTTAATCAATTTACAAGCAAATTAGATCGTACTGAAACATACATTTCAGAACCGGTCCTACAACTCGAAATAAACATAATTACACATATGTTCAGTGTCCCAGTTTTGGTTCACTGACGTTAACGATTTAGTAAATAAAATGCATATTCTTAGTATGTATCGACATATTTTGTCGGTCTTTCACACACTACTGTAAGAGACAATTATGCAATCTGCCCGTCCGTATTCCGTAATCAGTCTTCTGCATTCCGTCCGTTCATTCCTTTCAAACGTTCGTCTGAGGTATATAATAGGCCTATATTTCTACCTCCAGCCGCGTAGCTGCCTTTTAAAGCAAAACAAAAACGCTGCTTCAATATGTGCTTGTTCCACCCCTTTGTCCCCCTATCAAGGCCCTATCCTGGACCCGCTCCTAAATGTGAATCCACTGCGAAGAAGGGATAGCTATGCCCCTGATCTATAACCACTGATCTGAATCATTGAACCTTAGTCCTGGGGATGTCTTCTACCGTATACAATTTCAAATAGAGCTAGCAAAATTTGAAATACAGGTACTATTATTGTCTGATATGAGAGTGCAAAGAAGGCACCGCGGCCCGCCATTCAAATCTGTCAATGCTTTACATGTATTACGCGTGCTGACACAACATTGAGTGATACAATTATGAACTGATCTTTTTCATTTTCCCACAGTGAATACAACGCTGTTTGATTTCGTCATGGTAATCGAAATCTGATGACTTTCACCAAATCATTATGTTGGATTATTTTGCAGAAATATTTGTTAGCAAAACGTCACCAATACATCATAAATGGCTGACGGAACCAGTGTGGAAGGAAAGATATCTACAAATATTTGTCTAGAAAGAGATAAAATATAAATATGTCAGATAAGCCTAGATAGCGTGCTGTTCTATCGATCCTTGACGCACTCCCATGACACTTGACAAAGTTTTGCGTTTCGGGTACTTTTTAACGGTGCAGTATTGAAAAAATAACTATAAAAATCACTTCCAGCAGAATATTCATACATACCCGTAGCGTGTTGATTTCCCAAAGTTTATGAATAAAGAATTAACCTTAAAAATGCCACGGGTTTTCGAGATTGATAGGGTAAACGCTATTTCCCTTCTTATGCAAGAAACCCTGCAATTTCAAGTGTTCGCTATAATCAATTTGGAATGAACGTTAACTGCCTTATCCAAACACTCCATGTCAAAGGTAAGGTAACACTCGTACCTGTGTAACTACTAAATAGTGTCGTGATTGTCTGGCAGCAAGCAACGTCCCCACCTTAAACCCTTTACAGAGAGAACGAAACCGCAAGCCAATGAAAATGGCCACTACCCTGGTCGATTCAAAGTACAGAAACACCTGTGCAACCAATGCACCCAGAAGGGTCGAGGGGCACATACAATATTGATAGACCCATAACGCCCTTCAACGTCATATAGGGTCATTTATTTAAGCATTGAACTGTTTTTGTATGCTAGCGCATTATGATTTGTT